AGGGACGGGCTCAATCTTGACCCTCCCCAAATTCATGTGTTGAAATATATATCCATTTTACCTTGGAGTGTGACTGTGTTTGGAGACAGGCTCTTTACAGAAGTGATTGAGTCAAAGTAAAATCATGAGGCTGGGCACTGATACCGTATGACCAGCATCCTTTGAAAAAGAGATTACAAGACACAAACATATGTGGAGGGAAGGTCATATGAAGATGCAAGAAAAAAATCAACACGTTCAAGCTGAGGAGAGAGGGTTCAGGAGAAAGCAGCCCTGGCCACACCTTGATCTTGGACTTCCAGATATCACAACTGTGAAGAAATAGATTTCTATTGTTTAAACTATCCAGTGCTTTCTTGCAGTATCCCAAACACATCAGTTCAGCCACATTTAGGGGTGTTTCTTCATTTTGATTCCTACTTTTTCATCCTTACATTTGAGGAACAACCTAGAATGTAACCTCTAAAAAAGTTAAATTGTCTTTTAAGTATACGGATGCAGCACATGGTAATTCTCACCAGAGTCTCCATATTCCTTAAAGGATGTCAGAATAATTATATCTTAAAGGGGTGATTAAAGAACATGTGGATTATGATTGATCTTCCTTTGTAGGTATAGTTAGACAAACACAATAGACATAAACATGCCGTGTAAACAACTTTGGTCCTGCATTGAACTTATACCTAGTGGGGAAGAAAGGGCATTGTTTTCAAGCTCTGTCCGTGAACCTGTTTTTGGTCTCTCTAAAGCAGGTGTGGGATCTGGTTCTTCATCTTCAGATAAACCATAACACATCACCCCAATGGCCAGTTTCCTGCCTCCCTGTGAGGGCAATGAGTGTAAAAGTCATTGAAAAGTGTTTGTAGTTTACAGTATTTCTGAGTCGGCCTCTGTAGTCTCGCCAGCAGTGCCTGGATAAATATTTAACTGCCAGCTCTCTGAAAACAAATCACAATCAAGTGACTTGGCAGAGGGCGCCCATCTCATCTGCAGCCCTCAGCTGGCCCTGGAGATGTACTATGCCTTTCCTCTGTCTGCTGACGTCATATTGGGACATTGACCTCTGGGCTCACTTTTCTTGGCTGAGCTTTTCTGAAGAGTCTTACTTTTAAAAAATATTGATGACATCAGCACAGGTTTCCCCGAAGGATGGTCTTCGCCGTTCCCTGGCAGCCAGCTCCAATTCGTGTTGACTCTCAACTTCATGAGAGACCTAGAGCCAAGACAATTCCATCTTTGTGAATCTTCATCATTGCTAATGGAAGCAGAATCCAGCAGCTCAGGAGGGCCACCAGGTCGTGCCTGTGAAGGGGTCGCCAGGCCCAGCTCTTCAGGGCCTTTCCTCACACTCTGCCCCTCCTTTTTCTCCTTGGATATGTTATGTATACCTCACAGACCGTGCATGTGTGAGCCTTATGTAACTGTAGGATCATTGAGGGTCTAGTACTTTACTTATGTAATCATTTCAACCACTTCTCTGGGGGCGGGGTGCTGTTCTCATACTCACTCTGTGGGTGAAGAAACTTAAGCACAGAGCAGCTAATTACCTTTTCAAAGTCTTGCTATTTATTAGTGGCAGGGCTGGGGTTCAAGTCAAACAGTATGGCTTTAGATCCATGTTTTAAAGTGGAGTGTTACCCTCTTCCCCACAAACATTGGAAATATTTGTTTAGGAAGTAGACTTGGCAAGGAATAAGTGCCCTTGTTCATTAGGTTATTGATAAATTCTACTTAATAAAAGGCGAAAATTGTCATGATATGAAGTGAAGCCAGAATATTATGTTCTGTTTTCTCTAGTATGAGGCAGGCTGTGTATGTGAGTGTGTGTGTGTGTGTGTGTGTGTGTGTGAGAGAGAGAGCGCGCGCATGCGTGTGAGTGCATGTACGTGAGTGCATGTGCACGCACCCCAGTGTATCTGGGGTGTTGAAGTAAAATTCAACAATGAGGAAAATAAAATTCACCAGAAGTCTTAGAATTTATACTCTCAAAAGACAAGTGGATGAAAACATACTTCCCAGTGGAAGAATTGTCTGGCTTTAGGTCTCACCTGCCAAAGCTGAGACTCGACATGTATTTGAAATCATGCAGTGCTAATGTTTATCACAGGGCCTCAAGTGGAATGAAACACAGGCTTGTTTCAGAGAATGCTTCTGTTTTTCCTTCTTTTTGCCTCTGTTTTTGTCTTAGTAGAACTGGCTGAGTAGATATATAAAAAGCCAAGAAGAGGTCATTTTTGGTTCATAATATATAAAAAGATTCATATCCATGTTGAAGGGCTTGGGAGTTGCAAATACATATAATTCATTCCAGTTTGGATTAATGATTAGGTTGAACTAAAGTCTCTGGAGTGTCTGATTCTGTGACAGGTATTTTTGTCCTGGCATCCTGTCACGATGGGAGATTTTAAAGAGGCCATTATTTTATCTTAAAACATCAATGCAGTGTAAAAATTGAACTGTTTTTTTAAACTACTTCTGGGGGGAAGTCCTTTTATTGCTTAACGAAAACACTTGTTGTAATAGTTAGCTTACACCCTTTTCCCTGGGAGTCGTGTTGATGCTTAGTGTGTTGACCTTAGCGTTGATGTGCCTCTTTAATTGTAGTTGGTGGTTCTGTGTAATAAAGACAATAGATGTCTGGTCTCAAGTCAGAAGAATTGACTTTTCCTTTTGAGTGCATCACTTTAAGCGTGTTCTTTTTTTTTTTTTTTGCAACTTCTGAGCAATCCTATCATCACTCTTTAAGTCCAGAGACAGAGGTTCAAAGAGACCAAGTTAGCTCATGGCTAACACTATAAAGTAACACCAGTGACAGAATGTACATCTTCATGCCCCCAGTGCTACCACACCATGCTGGGATATTGGACTCCTTCGGAAGCCAGTTAATAGGCATAATTGCTTACAAGTTTTTCTACCTTTTTATTACCCTTTAGGAATCCTTGGTTAGATGAATTGACTCTCTCTCTCTCTCTCTCTCTCTCTCTCTCTCTCTCTCTCTGTATTGCTGTGGATTGAAGCCAGAGCCTCCCTCATGTAAGTGCTCTGAGCTGTTCCCCTAGCCTTCTTTTTACTTTTGGTTGAAAAAGTCTTACTGAGTTGCTTGGGCTGGTCTTGAACTTATCCTACAGCCCAGGCAGGTCTTGAACTTCTGATCTTCCTGTCTCATCCTCCCTAGTAGCTGGTATTACAAGCCAAAACCACTAGGACCACTCAAACATTTCAACCCTAACTTTCACCTTAGATCAAGTCAATTTTCTTATGGGGTGGCTAAATATAAATGGAGTGACTTAACGTGACTCGTAAAGAAAAGGTGAAGCACAGAACAGGCTAGACCCTTGCTCGGCCCTTAGCTTTGATGAGTCTCTGTGACTTTGACTTGCTCAGGCACTTGCTACCTTAATACAGTGTTCCATCTATATTCAGAAAACAGCTTCCCCCAAAGACTTCTGGGTGGAAAAGAATTCCTTGTGATTATCAGCATATCCATGTGCAAAACCACCAAAAAGAGCAAAATCTGGTGGCCTACAATGAATGCTTTTTATTCAAATATGTGTGGCAGATGCATACCACAGTAGAATGCCATTCATCACATTGAGAGGAATCAGCCCAAATGGAACTCAAGAAGGGGATTGCAAAACTTTCAGTACTCACCCTCGCCCACATTTTCTCTTAAGTAGTCTTGGAGTGCTGGATCTCAAGGGCAATCCCAGGGCTTCAGTGCGCTGGCCCGTTTCCTCCTTGTCATAACTCTCCTTGAAGAACCTGTGGCGTGTTCCTGCCAGTGTCTGACGTTAGGGACTCACAGCTCACTGACCTCAAAGACACAATAGAAATATGAAAGTGAGTTAAATTCTGGAAGGGGTCAAGGCACTTCTGTTTTTAAGGATGATATCACAGCAACCGGAAACATGAATCTGCAGTGGCATGAATGGATTCCATCACTCATTTATTTACCTATGCACTCATTCATTTATGCATGCATGAAACCATAGAAAGCCTTTGCTACATTCCCTTAAACCTCAAAGATGCATAAAATACAGTCCTGCCCTCAAGCAGCTTACACTCTAGTCAGGCAAAGTGAAAAATGCAATGACAGGTACCCTGGTTGCATATGCAATGGGCCAAGACAGTCCACAGAGATGGGAGAAGGGGGGACCAGGTGCATCTTGAGTGGTGGATGTTGCAGGTCTTCTCATCAGAAGGGAGGTCAAATGGATCCGTCCTTATCTGTAATCCATAGCTCTAGTCATGGGTTTAATTTACTCTCTGGTCTCCCATCCCTGGTGCCTCATCTCATGTTCCTGTAGTTGTCAACTTGACACACTTGGGTTGAGGAGCCTCAACTGGGGAATTGCCTCCAATGGATTGGCTTGTGGCCATGTCTGTGAGGCATTTTCTTGATTGCTGAGTGATGTGGAAGGGCCCAGCCCACTGTGGGTGGTACCTCCCCTAGGCAGGTTGTTCTGTATTGTATAAGAAAGCAGGCTGAGTTCCAAGAAAGGGAACCAAGCCAAGTTCCTCTGTGGCCTGTGCTTCAGCTCCTGCCTCCAGGTTCCTGCCCTGAGTTCCTACCTTGGGCTCCCTCAGTGATGAACTATTACCCGGGAGATAAAAGCCTAATAAACCCTTTCCTCTCCCAAGTTGATGATGGTCAGAGTGTTTTGTCACAGCAATTGAAGGCAAACTAAAACATTCTTTAAACACATTTTACTATGTTGATTTTATCTGCTTGAAACCAACTTTAGGCCTGGTTTACCTCTCACCATCAGCTTATGAGGGTAACTCAAGCCATGTGCTTTTCTTATTTCCCCAAAAGGAAGGAAAGTTTTGGAAATATGGCTTTTAAATAGCTTAGATGCAAAGCCCAGATTTTTAAGTTTTTTTTTTTGAAGAAAAATCGAATGGGCTTTCAGAGGGCTAGTGCTGGCCAATTTTTCATTTTCCTTTCATCTCCTCACAGCTGTAAGATTCAATTTTGAAGTGATGTGTGTGTGTGTGTGTGTGTGTGTGTGTGTGTATTTATGGACTATCATTAAAATATATATTCTTAGGAAAAACCCTGATAGCTAAACCATGCAGGCCATGTGGAAATCTTTCTGAGAATTGGCAATCTGAATCTTTATAAGAAGAAAGACTTTCCTCTGTCAAGAAGGAAAATCAAAATTAAGTAGGTGTTGGAGCAGAAAAATGAGTATTGTGTCTGGCACACAGCAGATGCTCAGCAAACTGTCTCCTGAACCCACACAGCTACCCTTATGAGGAAGAAAAGGCTCCTGAGAGGCGCACTCAACACAGAGGGCGATGGGACTTGATCTCCATTTGTTTCTACAAGGATGGGAACACCCTCCTGTAATTTTGGTTTCATAAACACAGTATTTCTCATCTTGGGAAGGAGAGTAAGGAATTTTCCTCTGAGACACTTGCAGTGGCAAAGCAAGCAGCCTTGAGCCCATGACTCATTTGCTCTGCTGAACCCATGCATGGTTACCCAGTTTCCCCACCCACAACAGGGCTGAGAACAGCAGTAAGAGAGAGGTACCATTCCCAGTATCCTTTTGCTTCTCCATAGGTCCTCACACCTGTGTGCAGTTATTTATTTTTTTAATTAAAAAAATTTAATTTTATGTGTATGAGTGTTATGTCTGCATGTATGTAAGTGTACCCATGTCCTGCATCTATGTAAGTGTACCCGTGTCATGCAGTGCCTGAGGAGGTCAGAAGAGGGCGTCAGATACCCTGGCACTGGAGTTACAGATGGATGTTAGCCACCATGTTCATGCTGGGAATCGAACTGAGGTCCTCTGCAAGAGCAACCAGTGCTCTTAATCGCTGAGCCATCTCTCCAGCCCTACCTGTGTGCATTTTAACTCCCCAAGTCTAAGCTTAGAAGGCAACCACTCAGGGCTGAGTTCTGTTTGGGGAGGACATGGAGTAGAGCCAGGAAGGATATTTGTGTATGGTGTGTTTGCATGTGTGTATGTAAGTATATGTAGCCTAGAGAGTACTACAAGATGAGGGGACCTCTGAGAGATGGGGCATTGTGGGAGATCTTTAAGTCATGGGAGAGTACTCTCAAAGGGGACTGTGATACTCTTCCCCTCTGCTTTGTGGCTAGATTTGAGCACTTCAAACCACATGTTCTTGCCATGATGTCCCACCCTCACCAGAGGAACAAATGGAGGTGGTGAGCTCCTGCTCTCAGACTCAAATCTCTAAAACTGTGAGCTAAATAAACTCTCTCTTCCTCATAAGCAGCCTGTCTCAGGTATATTATTGTAGCGATGTGAACCTGACTGTTGCACTCTCATAGAGATGTGCCTGTCCCAGAACATCCTCTGATAGTTGTGGCAGCACTGGACACAAATTGCTGCATTAGCCAGCTGGGGCCAGTCAAGACTGCTGTAGAGAGATCAAATTAGGGAGCCCATCAGACTGCAGCTCATTAGCATCCACATCTGGCAGCATCTGTTCTCCCAGAGGCAGCAATTCCACATGCTCTGATGGTTAGAGAATGAGGATTTGTGAGGTACAAGCAAGCCTCTTTAACAGAAATAGGCACAACCTTCTCACGGGCCCCCTTCTTTCCCTTTGGAAACCCCTGGGCTCCCTTTCTTCACTTCCTCTTGCCAGAATGTTCCATCTCCTTGTCCCTTTGTCTTTTTGCATTTGCCTGGCTGCAGCCCAGCCTTGCATAAACTTAGCTGTTTTCTTTCTGCATCTATTGCCCAGTTGTTGAACATTGTTGGAAAAGCCTCACACCCTGCGGAAGATATCATGATGCACCTACGCTCACCAGCATCCATCCGGGTCCTGGTTCCTGTCTGGCAGTTCTCTATTTCTCATACCAGCTCATCTTCCCATTCTATTTTTTTTAATTAAAATAATACTAGCACTGGAGTTGGGGCTGAAGTGCAAAGCTTTGTCAAAAGACACAAAGGGCTTCCAAGTAATTGATCTATTAGATTATTAGGAACCCCAGTAAAAAAATATTCAGAAGTGAGAGCTAGTTATAGTGTTTATCCCATTTTCTGTAATTTGAGACAACCAAGGAGTAATAAATGTAATCATTATAACTTGACAGGTTCCAGGATAAAATTTTCCAGCAATAATGAAAGTGTCTTTCGGGTATGTGTGGCACGGTCCTATCTGATGGCAAAAAGTGTACACCACAAAGACAATTGATCCGACACAGTATGACCAGCGTGGAACCATCGTTCTGCTTTCTGAAACTTTCTAAGACTTGTACTCAACTAATAATATGCAACCCATGTTCTAGGAAAGTCACTCTAAACCAATGTACTACTCTTGGAAATTTCCTCAAAAGGCTTCAAGTGAACATGTCACAGAGATACTTGCACATCAGTGCTCACTGCAGTAGTTTCCACAATAGCTTTGGAAGCTAGGTGTCCATCAAAAGAGGAATGGATCAAATGTGGTTTATAAAAATGTGCTTTATATATACAGCAAATTTTTTATTTGTTTGTTTTTATTTTATGTGTATGAGTGTTTTGCCTGTATGTGTGTAAGTGCACCCGTGTCAAGCAGTGCCTGAGGAAGACAGAAGGGGGTGTCAGGTCCCCTGGACCTCGAGTTTCAAACAGTTGTTAGTAGCCACATGAGTGCTGGAATTCGAACCTTTTGCAAGAACAACTGGTGCTTTTAACCGCTGAGCCATTGCTCCAGCACCCCCAATTTTTCTCAGTGTGAAATAGAATGAAGTTATTTGTAAGAAAATACACGCAACTGGAGATAATCATGTTATGTCATCTCAGACAAACACTGTGTGTTTTCCCTCATTTGTAATCTCTAGATTTTATACATATGTTTAAAATTATGTCTGAATATATAACATGAAAATAGAAACAAAGCTGTTTAGGGGAACAAGGGGGCTAACGGGAGGGGTCTGAGAAAGATGAGGATGGAGTGTATGGTGGGGGGATGGGATCAAAGTACATTGATATACGTGCATGAAAATGGCCTTATATAACCTAATATAATACAATGTTTTAAAAGAACGGAAAAAGGAAATGACAGGAGTCGTGTGAACACACTTCCTTGGTGTCCTTTCTTCCCATGCATTCTCTTTGCATCCAAACTCATTCCTCCCTAACCTCTTGTGATAAAAAGAAACTGTCGCCCTCTGTGCCAAGCTACTCTCTACCTGCCACTCAGGGCCAGCCTCATCCCAGGGATGTCACTCTATAAACTATCTCCTCTCTCTCTCTCTCTTGACTTGACCCCATAGTAGTCAAATTGGCTTAAGGAGTCAGGGGATTTCTTGGCTGACCTAATCCTTCTCACAAGACCTCTGTTAAAACAGGGCACACGAGGTGGTGCTGAGGACTGAGTTCTCCCCGACGTGGTCCATCCACAAGCTGAAGTTCTAACCCCTGGGGTATCTCAGCATGGGGCCTTAGTTAAAAACAAGGTCTGAGCAGGTAAGCTGGTTAAAAAGAGGTCATACTGGAGGTAATGCTGTGGGTCTCTCATCCAATTATATGACTGGTTTTATAACAGGAGATTTTGAACACATAATGCAGAGAGGAAAGTTGAGATGAACTTTCATCTCAATTCAGGGAGAAGAGGACCATCTACACGCCAAGGGCAGAATCTTGGAGCAGTTCTTCCCTTGGAGCCCCCCAAAGGAACCAACCCTGTCTGCACCTTTATTTTAATTTTCCAGCCTCCAGAATTGGGAGATAGTGAATTTCTTGGTTTACCCCCCTCCTTCCCAGTTTGAGAGCCTTTGACACCAGGAAGCTCCCTAGGAGACTGTATTAGTGTTTTGCTGGCTAACTTCTACCATTTA